TTTAACGGCCCATCGACGGCTGTGGTCATTTAGGGCCATGGTGATTTATTTATTCACTTTACTTTTTTAACAAACATGTGAATAGCGAAGATAAAATCAGATAAAATGGTTCATTTTAAAAGTATTCGCATTGTATGTGTAGATAATTAAAAATAATAAAAGGGGGTTAAAATAATAAAAGAGATAACGAATAGATGATATGGAATATGCGATATATATATAACGTCAAAAAGGATAAGGTGGGTTAAAAGACATCAGAGTCTATAAAATAGACCGATGTCTTTCAAATAGTTAAATAATGCCTTCGAATCCACGGAACTGAAAAGTGTTTTCATATCCGGGACTCGGAAGTAGTTATCACGAATGTGTTTAAAATCGGAACATTCTATTAAAAAATGCTCCACTGTAAATGGAGTGTCACATGCGTGGCATGAAGGTATATCTTCTCGTTTTAAAAGGTACGAATGAGTAGGATATGTGTGCCCAGTGCGGAGCCGAGCGAGGACAACTTCCTCTCTACGATCTTTCCGACTGGGAATAGATGTTTTAAGTTTCGGTTGTATCTTAAAAAGTTTGTTGTTGGTCTCCAGAGACCAGCGTTTCTGCCATTCATTTTGAATGGCTGTACGAATAGTAGGTTTAAAATCTGTGTATGGTAGTTTGATATTTGTTTGTTCGAGATTCAATGCATTTTTTGCTTCCCTGTCAGCAAATTCGTTGCCTTTTATTCCGACATGGCTCGGAATCCATAGTAAAGTTATTTTAGACTTTTTTAATATACGAGATATTCGAAGAGCAAGGTTTTGTACGATTGTGTTTTTAGGATCTCGTAACTGTAAACTCTGTAGGACAGATAGAGAGTCTGAACAAATAATTGCCTTTTTAATGCGGTGTTCATCGATATGGTCGAGGGCCAAACCAATGGCGCATGCTTCAGCAGAAAAGATGGAGGCGCCGTCTGGTAGTCGGACTGAAGTGCAAGTATTGGCAGTACAGCAGGCTGCTGCCACTTTCTCACCTTCTTTGGAGCCATCGGTGTAAAGTTGTGTATGAGAAGGGTAATTCGAAATGCATTCCCGAAAGGAGGATTTGTGTTCTTCGGGCATAACACTTGATTTCCCTCGCTCATGTAATGTAAAGTTAAAGGAAAGGAGTGTATCTTTGGAAGAACTGAATGGTTGGTCAAAGAAAAATGTACAACATTGGCTAACAAAACGTATTGTTTGAAAAAGTCTGGAAACAAAACTGTTCTGGTGAATAGAATATTGCGTACTATTAATTTTGGTGAGAGCGATATATCATCAGACAGCTCGGATGATGAAAACAATTGATACACAAACTTGCCTGATGTCAAGGAACTGAATGAATGGGATGAGCTGACAACTTCTAATTGCCCTCCTGTAAGATCAGAGGATGTAGATAATTACTTTTTGTTTGAGAAAATTCCAGTGACAGGAAAAACCAATCATTGCAACAGACAGTTGAAGAAGTCAAAAAAGTTCAGTAACGATAACTACATTGCAGACATTGTCATTCTGTTAATAATACATCACCTTATTGTGTTAGTTAGAATTACGCCCAAGTATCCACCTAGATTCGGTTCATCCTGCGTTTTGGCTTGCGTGCGGTTAGCGGTAGTCTACCGTCTAGAAAGCGATCGTTCACCGTTCGAGCACCGTTCGTATGTTTCGTCTGTTTCGTTCGTATCAGCTAAATCGTTCTGTTCGGTTATTTCGACCATCTCTATCGTCCAATTATTTCATTGGGTCGTTTAGTTCGGCTACTCCGTCCGGCTGTTCTGTCCGGCTGTTGAGTTCGATCGTCTACTCTGTCTTTTTGGGTTAGGATGCGCACACAGTTTATCAATTCACTTAGGCAAATGGTAGAACTGCAGAAGATCTCTCGCTTATCTCCAGAATTATGAACCTCAATTATCAGATACAGTGACAAAGGCTACGCTATTAGAAAGATAATTCGTTGGCAAGCACATGCGCGCGCCGAATTGCGTATTTACGGTTTTTATAGGAACTCTTCAATGCGGGAAACCACGTTGTTGTCGGTAAACATAAAAACAAAATGGAGAAAAGGAAGAATACAGAGTATATTGGGCGAATTTAACTGGATTTCGGATTACGAAATTGTTTTCGGAGCAAGAAATGGTCAACAATTAAAGCCTGCTGTTCCAAAGACTGGTCGCAAAAGAAATGCAGTGTGGCTAATTACCGCCTGACTACTCGTAAGTTCCCCGAAGTGTTCACAAAATTCGCATTGTAAATTTCCCATTTATACAATACCCTTTTTACACGTTTATCAAATTAGTATGTCGTTGATTTAGTTTGTATAAAGTCTCGAGTAAGTTTGTACACGTGTTACACTTTGAGAACTGTAATTTACGTCTCTCTGTTCAATAGTCTACTTGATGGAAAAAAAGTCCCGAAACGCCCCCCACCCCCACCAAGAGGTTTTAATTTCTTAGGTAAAAAAGCTTTATTTATCATAATCAATGCACTATTCACACTTCCAGTACTACGACGTATTTGACCTTTGTCATACAAGAATTAATTTTGTCTCAAGCTTTTATATAATTCTCAATTGTTTGAAAATGAAGATCAAAGGAACAGAGTACTATTGAATAAATATATATTCCTACACTTAGTGTAAGTGTAAGAGGGGAACATACAGCCTTCAGTATGTACTAGAAGGATCATGGTGATGCTGTACATCAGATATTACAATTCCCTGTCAGACTTGGATCATGAATGCTTTCCAAATCATGTCATAACATGAACATCAAACATGTAAATTTCTTCATGATTAAAGACTGTGATGAAATGTATTTCTGTAAACAGAAGTTAATATTTGCTTTATATAGTAATTATTTGATAGGGATAAGGTTAATACAATTCGTCTTCTCCCCC